ATAAGTATATAAAAATGTGGATTTTTGAGGTATTTAAAGGATAAAGAGATAAATAATATAAAAGAAAAAAGTCAAAAAAGAAGAAAGTGCATCATTTTGTGGAAATAAATGAAAGGAGAAGGAAATGGGGGCGGTTTGGATCTAGCTGAAAGAAGAGGGATTTTGCTTTTTCTCATTAAGTAGCTGATGAATTTCCAGCTGCTGACAACTGCCTGTCCTTGCAGCCTTTAACTAAATAGCAAAAATATATTTATTTATTTACCACTAAACACGCAAAATATTTTGGACCAATACTCTCGATCTAAGGCTGTGTAGAGAGAAGAAGAGAGAGAGAGGGAGACAGAGAGAGAGGATTCCCTCCTTCCGGTGATCCTTCCCCATTAATTCAACAATAAATCTACTTTTTTTGTTAGTATGTCGAAAATAATCGAATAGAGAAGAAAAACATTGAATGGCCACAACAGCCTCTGTTGGGAATCGATTGGAGGACAGAAAAATTTCTTAAAATCTACTTGAAGGAAAAATAATCTGTGATTAAATTTAAGATTATCCACATAAATTAGAATAATTAAATAAAGTAATTAAATAATGTTGGGGATAATTAAAATGTCAGAAATATCAGAAATATTCCCTTTCATTTGCTTAAACTAAAAATATAAAATCAAGAATCAACAAAGGTCTCGATTTCCGAAAAAAACCCCCGAGAAGTAACTGATCGACAATCAAACATAGAGAACTAATTATAATCCAATTCTAATCTTATTATAATAAAATAAGTTTCCACAATTGTGTTAATTAAAATTATTAGAAAAGGAAGCTAGAAAAGGATCTAGCAATTTAATATTAGAGGTCACTGGAAGTTCCGGTTCCGATGAAAATATCGGTTCCGGTGAAATGCTATAAATAAGTGTTGAATTCTTTAACAAAAAATTAAATTAAATACAATTTTAAAATTTAATAAAATATAGTTTTTGTAAGTAAAAGTCTACTTTCATTTAAATCATTATTCTTTTTAGAGCAACTTGATTTCGGTAAGAAATCACGTATATTATGGCTACGTCTCTTTCGTCGTCCTCCACAACATGAAAGGCCTTTAAATTAATTTAAAAAACAAAAAGTATTTTTTAAATAAACTAACATGATTGGGGAGAGCAACAACAACACCCACAACTTGAAAATTATTTTAAAAATATTTTATGAAAATTTAAATTTTGTACCATTTACAACAACAAGGACAGGTACATGGAAGTCTAAAAATAATTGAAATAAAATAAAAAAATATTAGAGAGTCAAAACCTAATGCAGATTGGCCCTTTATGGCAAAGACAACAAGAACAGCAAGGCCTTGAAAGAATAATTAAAAAAAAATTAAAAATTAAGGGTTTTATTTACAAGGAACCATTCTTTACTGTCACTGCGAATTTAATATATTTTTTGGTACCATTCGATAGAGGACCCTCGACTTAGTATTGTGGCGCTATCCGTTTTCTTGCAAAATTAGTTTGGGCCGAGTTATGGCCGTTCAAAGTTAGACCGCTAGAGTCTGGAGTTTTAGGGTAAGTAAGCAATTTCTCTCTTATTTTTCATCCTCAAAAAGGCCCCGCCTACTCCTCTTCTCTTTGTTTATTGTGTCTGACATTTTCTCCCTTCTTTTTATTCTCGCGCCTCTTGCATTCTTATTTCCTCTTTGTAAGGCAATGTGAAGAAAGCAGAGAAAGTGGAAAAAAGTAACAGCGCGCATCTTTTAGCTTTTTTTCATTATACTCAACCACTCCCATAGACTGAAACTTTGAACGGCCATAACTCGGCCCAAACTAATTTTGCAAGAAAACGGATAGCGCCACAATACTAAGTCGAGGGTCCTCTATCGAATGGTACCAAAAAATATATCAAATTCGCAGTGACAGTAAAGAATGGTCCCTTGTTAGTTGTGCACCAAAGGGTGTTCGTTTAAACTTTAAGGGTAAAAATAATTAAAAATATTTAGCTAATTAAGGAAGAAAAACGCATTACAAATATTAATTCATCCTTAATATTCTTAATATTCTTAAACATTAATTTTAATAATTTTAGTCGAAAAATATGCCACTTTAAGAGTAACAAAAATTTTCCAGCTACTATAGCAAAAATTAAAACCACCGATTAGTCGGTAGTGAATGATTGACCGGCAAGGCCTTGATAATATATAATATTGCTTCGGAGAACTTTATGGACTATTAACCCCTTCCAACACTTTGCTATTTTCTGGAAATGTTCAGCTGCTTTTTATCCTAATCTCTTTATCCAAACAAACAAGAATATATTTCCAACCTACAACAACATGGACCTGTACAACAACAACATCCATCAGCCTCTGTTTTCCCAGGAAAATGAGACAAAAAAGTTAAAATAATAAAAAACAGTCCAATAAAGGAATGAAAAATAAAATAATTATTCATTTTTAGATTAATTAATAAATTAATTAAAATTGGCTATAAGATTCCATCTTACATCCATTTTATAGTCTTGTTAGAAAATAAAGACAAAGATAAAAAACACAAAAAACATTGTTCTTCTTTTAATAAATTTTCATTTTCTAGGAACAAAAAGAAAACATTTTATTTATTTTTTTTAATGTTGTCCTCAATTACTGAACTAAAATAAATAAATTTAGTTGGGATAATATTTGGTATAATGTCTTTGTTGTATATTTGTGCCTTTGTTGCTGTTGTTTCTCGTAATTCATTTTTAACGTTAAAAAAATTGGTCGAACCGCAACAAAGAAAGAATAAAAAAGAAAATTATTTTATTAATTAAAGAAAATGAAAAAAATTATTTTAACCGAGTTTTGTAGATAGTAAATATATAATTATAAAAAAAATTATTGGAAAATTAAAAATTATTGTTGACTAATCTCGATAGCAAGTTTCTCTCTTTATTATGACTGACAATGAGCAATTTAGTCCAGAGTGAGTTCTATTGGGATTTGAATGTACTTAGATATAAATTAGTATTATTTGGGAGTTTGTACTGATTATTGGATTTTAATATTTTCAATATTTTCTAGAACGTCCTATGTATATTCCAAAGTGAAGACTTGGGGCGGAATACAGCATTCTATTTTTTTTGTAATCTGCTCTACTCTGTTGCATATTTTAGTGCATATTTAGGGCTTTTTCTGTACATATACATTCGCATATTTTTGGATTTTTGTGCATATTTTGCCGCACCCTAGTTATAACGGGTGCCGGAATTTTCGTCTCTGGAAATTTCGTCTCCAAGACTTTTCGGAACTTTCGTCTTCAACATTTTCGGAATTTTCGTCTCCAGCGGAATATTCGTCTCCAAGGAAATAAACGGAATATTCGTCTCCACAATTTTCGTCTCCGCTAGGAATTTTCGTCTCCAGAGGAAAATTTACCCGTTGACGGAACAACCTCCCCCGCTAACGGAACAACATCCCCCGTTGACGGGGACTCTCCCTCACTGACGGAACATCTTCCCCGTCAACGGGGGATGTTGTTCCGTCAGCGGGGGATAGTCCCCGTCAACGGGGGATAGTGTTCCATCAACGGGGGAAGTTGTTTCGTCGACGGGGGATAGTCCCCGTCAACGGGGGATAGTGTTCCATCAACGGGTAAATTTTCCTCTGGAGACGAAAATTCCTAGCGGAGACGAAAATTGTGGAGACGAATATTCCGTTTATTTCCTTGGAGACGAATATTCCGCTGGAGACGAAAATTCCGAAAATGTTGGAGACGAAAGTTCCGAAAAGTCTTGGAGACGAAATTTCCAGAGACGAAAATTCCGTACACCGTTATAACATGTTAAGTCAAGTAATTGGTGTTTTTCACATTTATCGAGTTATAATATTTTACGTGTGAGCAGACTTGATCCATTAAGTTGGAAAAAAAGATTCCTCTTGTTGAGGGCCTTCGAATGGCATGATTTATTTGAATGGAATCAAAAGGTTAAAGCCGATCAAATTCGGCTGGAACTCAGTTTCTGGGCGTATAACCGATAAATACCCATGTTTAACCTGTCACTTTTTCAAATTTTATCAATTAAAAAATTTCAAACTTTATCGTTATTATGAAAATTTTGAGAACTCAGCCCGAACTCAGCATGACATCCCTGATTTTGTATTAATTAATTAATTAAATATTAATTAGCCATAAAAATCTACAAATAAAAAAACTAATTTTTCTTTCTCATTCTATAAATTTATTAGATATTTTTTTGTTTCTCTTATAATTTCCAAATCTCTACAACTTCTTTATTATTTAAAAAACAAGTTTTTCTATACTTGGAACTTCATTATTTACACACAATTTTGTTTTTAATTGTATAATATATTTGCTACTTTTATTAGCCCGATTAGGGACAGAGGGAGAGAGAGGGACACATTGTGCTTTTAAATAAATTCGAGATGTGGATGAGGAAATGAAGAAAAGGTGTTGGTTGTTGCTTTTTTCCTAAAAAGAGAATTTTTGTTTCTTTCCAAAAAATAAAATATTAATTAAAAAATAAAATTTTTAAATATGATTTTTTCAATAAATTCTAAAAAATATATTTTTTTGAAATTTTTAATTGGATTATTTCTTTACTTTTCGGTAATTCTTTAAGTAATAGATTTCATAAATTGTAATAATTTTCTTTTAAAATAGGTAATAGTGTCTCTAACAACAGCCACAAGTTTCTGTAATAATTGTCAATGTTGTTCCTCTACAAATCATTTAACAAACGGGCAATATTCTGAAGGAAATAATGTTAACGAAAATGAAATAAATTCAAAGTTTTTCTCTAAAAATTGGCTTTAGTTTAGTATACCGGAGTCGACTCAGCTCGAGGAGCTCTTTCGAATGAGTTATCAATCAAAAAATCGAATTTTCCATCCCAAAAATGTGCTTACTCCCCTCTATGGTTCTTCGATTTTCGAGGACCTATATCTCGGTCCACAAGCATCTCCGGAAAAAACAGTGGTGCCGTTCGACTCAGCTCGCTGAGACGAATCTAATGGTATGGGTCTTGTATCGGAACTGAAACTCCGGTATACTAAACTATATCCAAAATTTAGTTAAAAAATTTTTTCTCTAAATTTAAAGCCGAAATGACCATTTTGCCACTTCCCCACAACTAACATTTTCTATCCCAAATGCAAAGCCAATTCCTTTACTCGAAACAGAAAATGGACTACAAAAATATTACAAAATAGATTATAACGGAATTAATCCAACAAATTTAAATCAAAAATCATTTTCCCCCTCAAAAACCCTTTTATTTCCAATTCCCGTTGCTGCATTAATTGTACAGCCAAACAGTTTATCTGGTTGTAATTGTTTAAAAGGAAATTCTGTTAAACCCCAAATAATTGAGGAAGATGTTCCAGAAGAGAATTGTGAAAGTAGATGTGAAAAATGTACGGGAGGAATAAATGAAGAAAGTGGGGGAGATGATGGGAATAATAATTGTTGTGATGAATGCCAAAATATTTTGTTGGAAAAATCAAAAAAAGAAGAGGGAAACAAAGGAGAACAACAACAACAACAACAATTAATTTTTCATCAAGAACCTGAAAATAATAAAATTCCGTTAGAGGCAAGTTTAATTATTAATTTGGATATACCAGGTTTTGTAAGGATGATTCACCTAAAGCATTTAAAACGCTTAGGCTTGGGTTAAACTATCTGAAAAGGAAAAAGAGAAAGCATTAGTCTATGCTCCGGTAGCTCAGTGCTAGAAGCTCCTACAAGTGGTGAGCGAAAGAGCCTAACAATAACTACGAGGAGGTCGCAGGTTTGAATCCTGCCCGATAGCTAAACTTCTGCTAAACTCTTTCTGTTTTGGTTCCCACAATTTTTGTTCTCTCTAACTTTCTTTTTTTGCCTGTGTTGAAGAAAATATTTAAACAATTACTAGATTAAATTGTTTAAAATTTTTGCTGCGGCACAAAAAGTGTAAAATTTCCGCCACCATAAATTCCAGTCTCATATCAAAATCACCGAAATTATTCCGAATTTCTAAATTTTTGTATAAAAATTCCAGATCTTCAAAAATTTTGTCACCAAAAACAGAGATAGTCTTCTACCTTCAGAAAACAACAAAATTCCCAACACTTTTCAAGAAGAAAGTTTAGAAACCCTCAAAAGGAGATTAAAAGATATTTCAGAAAAAATGGATTTATTAAAACAATTAAATGAAGAAATGCGTTCGCCAATACAGCAACAAACACAAAATCACAGAACATTTCCGCTTACAAAACCAATATTTTATGGAAAGGAGGAAGAAATTGGAGAGAATAATAATTTAATTTTAGGACAAAAATCAACAGAAAAAGGTTGATAATTCTTTAAATTGAAAAAAAAGGAAGAGTAAGACAGGAGAAAAATTATGTTAGAAAATCCCTTCCATTTTTACCCGGTACAAAATTATTAATTAAAAATCAGAAGATTTTAACTCAATCAGAAGTCCGTGATTACCATCATACTTTAGTTCTTTTTTGATATAGTAAAACAGCTGGGCTAAAGCTATTTCTCTCCTTTAGCTAGTGCAAAAGGTTATTCGGCGGCTGGGAGCGAACCAGCATTTTCAGTAGACCGGATTGATGGGTTAGCCATTACACCACGCCGCCTACTGCACAGCCTTAGGAATTAAATAGCTATATGCTTTACATTTTTAAGAAAAATTTTCATTAAAGATTTTCTAATATAAAATTGTTTTTTAAATAAATAAACAGAAAGTGACAACAAAAATAATATTTTAGAACAACAACAAAAACAATTATTTTTTGCACCTTCCAAATTTGAAAATGAACAAAGAATTAAACCAAAAATTAATTCAGAGGCCTCAACAATTCCAATAAATAATGAAAATATAAATAATAAAACAGTTAAGAAAAAATTTTATAAAAAAATTTTATAGTATTTAATTAAAAAAATTAAAAATAATACATACCGTATTTGCTGAAATAATTACCCAGGGTAATTATTATTTCAACCTCTCGCTGGAGGGGATAATTATTTGAGAGAGGGACACTATTTCAGCATTTACGTTATTAATTTTTAAATTCAGAGTTTTTCTTCCCCCAAAAAATATATTTTTAAATTTATTTTAAAATATTTAGATTAACAACAATTTGGGAACAATTAATAATTCAAATAATTTACCGACTGGCCAAAATGGACAAAAATTGCTTTTTAACGTTTTAAACAATATTATTCAACAAAAGAAAAATGAAGATATAAAATCAACAATTAATGGACAAAAACAAAATGAAATAAATGGTGATCAAACAACGAAAATATTATTTTCTCCAAAAAATAATTTAGCAGAATTTCCAAATAAAACAACAGAAATATTAAATAAATTGGAAGAAAAAAATAATAATTCTCCAATAAATTTACATTTTCCAGAATTAAAAATAAAGCAAGAAATAAATAATTTAACGGTGAGGGAATTGAATTAAAGGCAACTTCTACGTTAAAATTTAATAATAATAATCTTCCAGTGAATTTTGTTAGACGAAAATAATTTTACGTGAAATTTTTAGGGAATTTAGAGATATTTTGGCCAAAAAATGGGTACTTTCCTGTTATCGGCCCTCCATTTTTTCTTCCTTTTTTCTCAGTCTACTTCTGTACAGAATGGTCAGATTTTCTTTCTTTTTCAAATTCACTCCATTTCCCATTGGCATATTCAAATGAGACATTAATGAAGAAAAGTTGAGGAAAAATCCTAAAGACGCGACGAATACACAGAAAATTGAACAGTTGTGGTAATTTTCTTTTCGTTTTTGGGAATCTTTTCTTTGTTAATGTTGCCACTGGAAAATAGAGTGAATCTGAGAAAGAAAGAAAATCTGACCATTCTGTTCAGAAGTAGACTGAGAAAAAAAAAGAAAAAATGGAGGGCCGATAACAGGAAAGTACCAAAAATTGTTTTTAGCGATAGGAGAAGATTTTGGAATTTCTTAGCTTTATTCTTAAAAAAATACATAGTTGCGGATTTTCAGAAGAAAACCCCAATTAAATTCACAAAACATTTTTTAACATTAATCATTTTTAAATTAAAAATTTAGCCACCCAACAACCTAGAGCTTCATTTACCTTCTCCCACACAACTTCCTTTAAGCACACAACTACCAAATATGGATTTAACATCTTCTATTGTTCCAATAACAACACAAAATTTTCCAAAAGAACATTCATTATATGTTCAGGGGGGAATGGTACAAAGACAACAACCACAACAACAACCATTAAATGACTTTGAAAATTTAAATTCTGCAACTAATGGTAAAATTAATCGTTAATTTTGTGGATTTATTTACTGACAATGAGTTTTTATAAAATAAGTAAATCAAAGGAATGGGGCCATTTTTTGGATACTTTTGACGTTATATTCAGATACGTCCGATCCCTTTTCACTTTTTTTCCATCGTTACCTCCATTCGGTCCCAAGAAATGTATTTAGTCCGTTTTAGCTCTCAACGAGGTTCGGATCGAGGGGTAAAAAAGAAAAAAATTTCCCCGTCCCCGCCCCTGTGGCGCTGCAACCCTGGAAATTGTTCCCCGTGGCCCTCCCCTCCCCTGTCGGGGAATAACCCTAATTCCATGAATTAAATTTGGTATTCCCCATCCTTCTCTTTTACAAAAATTCTGGTTTCAAAAACTGAAAAAGACAAAAACAGAAAATTTATATTTCCCTAAGGATTACAGCTAAAATATATTCTTTAATTTCCCCCTTTATATCAAGTTTTGAATGATGAAGTTAGAAATCAAAAACAACAAAAATTATTAAATGAAAAACAAATGTTGTTGTCCTCTTCTTCTTCTTTTCCTTCTCCTTCCTCTTTTAATTTTGAACAAAACAAAACTTTAAACGAAAATTTCGAAAATATATTACTAAATAATTCAACAAATCAACAACCAAGTAAGATAAAATTTAGAAAAAAATTTTTTTGAAGAAATAAAAATATAAATAGAATTTTTGAGTATTCGGCAAATAAAAAATGGAGAAAATGAAATTGGTGGAAGTGGTGGATATTTTGTGGAAGAAGAGGAGATTAATAATTATTGTGGAAAAATTAATTTTAATTTGATTTTACAAAATTTAATTGTAAATTTGTTTTTTATTGTTTATATATTTTAGTTTATTTGTTGGGGAAAATAAAAGAATTAAAAATTTTATAAAATAATTATTTTTTATTTATTCAAGAAAAAATGACAATGAAAGGGATGGACACTTACATCGTTGTCTTGATAAAATACCGTATAACCTGTACTAATTACCCTTCTTTAAATAATTACCCCGCCTCTATTAATTACACCTTTTAGTAGAAGGTCGAAACAATAATTACCCAGGGTAGTTATTAAAGGATATAAGGTATGTCAGGTCAATAATAAATTAACTGGTTAACTGCTAAATTGTATTCTTTACTTGATTTGCTTGGGAAATCTAAAAAAAGGTTTAAAAAAAGATTTTCTTCTGTGGATTTAAATTTAGGAGCTCGAATTTTTCGATGAACATTTACTTCAAGTCGATATTTTAAAATAATTTAGTACACTCTGATTTTCGTTCGAGTGTTCGAAGGGTCCTTTTATTGCTCTAAAATCTCTTTGAGTCAAATATCAACAACTATTTTTTGTTCGAGTTAAAATGTTTTGACACTTTCCTGGGTTAATTTAAAAAATTAAATAAAAATTTCGGAAGATCCAAAAAATTTAAAAAACTAATTATTATTGCTCTTTTACTCAGTACGCAAATTCGTTTCGCAAATTTTGAATCAGCAAAATTGGTCCGCAAGGTTCGCGCCACGAGATTTTTAATTTATAGGACAATTTTAAGTTATAAAAATATAATTAAGGTAATTTAAGTTTACATCGGTTATATAAAATGTTTTTTTTCGTAAGAATGGGGATTTATGTAAGTCTTATTATTTTTATAAGCTTTGAACCTTTAAATAAAATATTCCCCAATCAATTTTAGTTTTTTTTTCTCTCAATTTTATTTAAGTGAAAGTGGGAATTTTCCGAAGATTATCCTGTTTATTGTCAAAAATAAATAAAAATCTTTTTCTGATTAAGAGCCTTATATTTTCTTACTGTAATTTAATTTTTGGCGTTTTGATTTTTAAAAAATTTGAGGAAATTCAGTTTAATTGTTCTGAAATTTTAATCTTTTTATTAAAAATTTAAATATTCATTCTATTTTTTTATTAGACATTCTCGATTTTTAAAAAATATATTTAATTGTAAATTGTGTGTGAAAGCTTTTACATATAGTCATTAAAATATAAGGAAGTAATTTTTCACAATTTATTTCCCACAAAAACTTATCATCATTTTTTACACATTTTTATACTTTAAACTTTGATGTTGATGCCAAATTTAGTTTTTTTTTCTCCTTTTCATTCCTATCAATCTTTTGTTAGGAGGATTTTCGATCCTTTGGCTAACATTATATCTAAAAATAATTTTTTTAGACAATTTAATCTTTTTTTTCTATACAAATATCCAAAAATCCTTGGTTGTCATTTCTTCCATATATTAAGTATTTTTACATGTTCCTCCCCAGAATTTTGCACTTACAGGCCTAGTAACACCATATTATTTTCTACATTACCAGTATTAACTCTCATATTTTTAGCATTATTTCTGTTGTTGTATATTGATTTAAAGCGA